TCGAGGCAAGCACTGTAGCTTTCAGAAATGTTTCATCATCGAATGGTGATGAAATATGTCACTTCTTGACATGTTTTGTAGCCAGATTTACAGGCAGGTTCAAAGCAATGGGTTTTTATGTGTTATAATTACACCCACATACACAAAAACTTCAGCCCCAAACTTAAATTGTTCTTAAGAGCAAAAAGATAATTGAACCATGTAGGCTACTATTTGTGTAACTAAAATACATACAGTGTATGATCTAAATATTTATGATTATTTTCTATTCATTCATAGTAGCATTCAAATACATGATTCAGGAGTAGACATTCACAAACCAATACTCGACAGAAACTGAAATTGTATTCTCTCAGGTGTAGATAATCATTAGCCCCAGAAATTTGTTTCTGTAATGGTATTAATGTACACAGTAATCTTCCAATAGCATCCCATAGAAATTTAAAAACATTGCATGAAGGTGGCCAGAATGTCTTCGTCCTTGTGGGTGGTATTGAAGAATTATTTTCGGCAGGCGGTTGTCTTGCTCTTTTCAATGTGCTGGGTCCAAGAACTTCGGTAGTAATTGATCTTCTCTTGAAGATTAAATACCCCAAGTTCTTTACGAATTTCTAAGTTTCTTTATCTGTTCAGTAGCTTATAACCACCCACTGATTTCAGAAATCTCATTTCAGCACTTTGTAGTCTTGTGTTATCTTTTTTGGCCATTATCCAATTTTCACTTCCAATGTTTTTTATTCTAATTCTAAAATTTGCATTAGCACTTAACGTGTACGGAAATAATATTTTCTTTGTAATCTTGATTCCATCCTCCTAGGGAGCACATAATCTTGACTTTGGTGGTGGAGCTTGAGTACCCCAATGTCTCTGAGAGCTATACCGGCGGTAGCGTAGCTACTGGTAAGGCCGGACAGGTCGAAGGGGTGGGGTCAGACGAAGAAGTCCTCCCGAAGAGGACCCAACTATCAGAAGAGGACCTGAACAACTGTTCCGGCGAAGTTCTTCGCCATGGCGTAGAGGACCTCACAACTGTCCTGTATCTCGAGGTCCCTTGCACAGGGATACGTGTAAGACTTCACCAGTCGAAGCAGCAGCGATGACACTGGTGCAGAGAGAGAAAGACGCAACCTATTTAATCACCAAAAAGACAGTCGGCAAGATACTATGACGACTCAGCAACGGAAAAGGATTAAACGACCTGGAATAGCGGCAACATTGAGATTGGCTGCCTGGAATGTTCGAGGCCTAGAGGAACAAAGAGAGCTTGGCGGAACTTGAATTAAGAAACATGAACATCGATATCGATATCGAACATCGTCAACGAAACAAAGAAAAAACTGAAAGGAACTACTGACTCAAATCATCATATAATGTTATATTCTGGTGTACCTCAATCACCGAGGGCTTCATCTATTCTATTGGCTAATCCATAGCAATTCTATTGGCTAATCGATAGAGGAACAGTGTCATGAGCTACAATTTCGTTAACGACCGTATTAAAATATTGCGATTACAATTGAAAAGAGGATATCTAACAGTGTATATGCCCCAGAAGAAGGTAAGAAAGAAGAAAGTGAATGGTTTGATAATATCTTACAGGAATATTTGAATACGGACCTACAGAAACGACTTTATTGCTATCTGTGGCAATCTTAATGCTTGAGTCAGAAATATCCCAATTCCAAATATTATAGGAAATGAAGGAGAAATGACACTTGATGAAAATGGGAAACGTCTGAGAAATTTTTCTACTTTCAACGACTTTAAAATAACTAATACTTAATGTCGCAAAGCCATTCACAAGTTTATTTGGACAGAAAGAGGGTTCCGATCTATTATTGACTACGTCATTGCTAACAAGAAGCTTAGCTCATCTATAAAAGACACACGAGCTCATGGGGGTCCGGAAATAGGGGCAGATCTCTATCTAGTGAAATCAGTCTTAACATCCCGGAAAGTTGGTCTCACAAGAAGCAAAAATTTTCTAGAGGAACCCCCAAAAAAATTGCTGAAAGAGGAAAGTACAAGGAAATTATACTCCTCACGTCTCTGGAAATATTTCCAGGAAAAATCGTCTAGTTGAGACGTTGACACAGAATGGTAAAATATCAAGGAAGTTATATATCAATCAGCGTCAGAAACACTAGGTAGATAGATAAATAACACTAGGTGAATATAAAAATAATAGTAAAATGCTCAAGAAATGGAATGAGGAAGTGCAAGACCTTGTTAATGACAAGAAAAAGGTTTACTTAAAATATTTGCAGACCAACACATTAGAAGATCGGTTAGAGTATAAAAGAAGGTGTGTTGTCGCGAAGAGAAAAATTAGCAAATAAAAAAGGAAAGTTGGGATAAGTACATCTCAGACATAGAACACGATGTACACGGGGCACAAAATATGGCCTACAAAATAATGAAACATTTAAATAGAGAAGAAATAGACATCGCTAGAATCTTCATCATAAGTGCAGATGAATAGTTAACGTACTATAAAAAAGTTATGGGCAGACCCAGGCGGAGAATTCGAACTTTTTGACAAGGAGACTGGAACGAACGTTTAAACCGTCGATGTTCTATCAATACTCCTTACAATCGCCCAGGGCAGAGTGCTATCTGCCGGCCTCTTTCTAAATCGCCGAGACACCTATGGATAGTGTCTCTATCTATTTAATGCAAAGAAAGCTGCGTTGGAGTATTTTATGGTCGAGAGGAACCAAAATCTAACACGCATAGTAGTTAACATTCTGTCCCACAGAGTGCACTAATGGCAGTATCTAAGGGCTGCCACACACCACTACTTCCATAAAAAAATAATAAAAATTAACAGACGTATACCAACAACTCACACTGTGACATCCCGAATTCGACCCAATCTAACTGTTGCACTATTGTCCAAAATTACATTATTAATATAGACCTGCAGCAACTGTTTCCCCTTAAACGAAAGTTCGTTTCCCTTGGAACGAAGGCCTCTGTCGCAACTGCGAGGGCGGCCACCTGTGGCTGCGACCAGAGGGGCATTTTTTGCGGCGTTTATTTGCTCGAAACAGGAAGCAAATGAGGGTTGAACATATACATTTCAGGTGGGAAGTACCATGGGAGGGAGTCATGTAATTTTTTATTATATTTAACTTTTCTTAAAGAAAAATATGATAATAGTATTGAACACGAAGTTTATTCAACACTTTTTGTTGCAATCGATCAACGCTTGAAATGCCGCTGTTTCTCAATATCGATCCTCAACTGACTCTCGCTATGGGATCGGTAAACGATTCAGACGATTTTGCAGCATCGTCGAACGCAAGTAATTTTTTTACCCGGAACACAGAAAAGTTTTTCTCGTTCGAGCACGATGTGCCTGAAATGGTCATAAGCAGACGCACAAATATTCGGGAACAAGACCCATACATCACTTATTTTCGCGCATAAAATCTACGACCTAACGCAGATTTGCCGGGCTGCCTTTTCTTTTGCAGATACGCAAGGCGATACGCTTCGAAATCAAAGTTTGAATATTCAATAATGTATTAAATGTGTTAAATTGTATTTTTTCCCAATTTTTGTATTTACCCACTGGAATATTTTTGCGAAGGTAGTACTACCCACCTACCCACCTCTTCCGCCGGCCCTCCATCGCACTCCTTATTATCCTTTCTGCCTTCCTGCCCGAATTGGCTGAGCATTTTCTTATTTTGGAACTTTTTGGCCGTGGAGGCAGAAAGTTGATGCAGCTTATATTCCCTTGAAAACTCCATAGAAATACCTTTCGCTTCCATGTCGGTGACCGCTGTGTGTACTTGCATTGGAGAGTGGAGATATGAAAGCGATCTTACGTTGTTCATTTCGATAGGGAATGTAGATAACGGTGTTTCAAGCCTTCCCGCATCTAGCCGGCGAACGTCGTTTAGCGGGTCTGCATAAGAGCAGGAGTCGACGTGATAGTTTGAAGATCACGTGGTTCATTAACGACCGGCGGCTGTTATAGCTATTATTCCTCACATCTCCCACGCCTAGTAATGAGTGTGGGTGTTATTCATGCAGAGACCAAAAGTTAAAAATCAAGGCAGGGCGTAGCAGAGCCGAGATTTTTAATTTGGACGAGGCAGTAATAACACTAATATTTCGTGGTTTGTTCAGCATATGATGGGTCACCATAAAATCTCACGATTAATGAGAAAATTTATATTACTACGGTAGTAAACAAATGAATTCTGTTGCTGCTGCACGCTAGTGTGATATTGTGGTCTGTTGTTTACGATATTTCTATTTAAAAAATATTCATAGACCCTGGTTCGAGAAAGATGGGTTAAATTATTCCTCTGAACCTAAAGAAATGCCGCGCGTTGACTTTCAGTGGCGACACCTTCACATCGTCAGTAAATGTGATTCCTGGAAAATTTCATTTGGTAGAATGCCAAGAAAATGTGGTTAATTTACATGATACACATTTTTCTAATTGAAAAATTAATGATAAATTAACAATAATTAACAAATAACTAACACGAGCTACTATTCTTTTGAATTGTTTGAAACTTATTTGTTTTGTACATCGCCATTATTTTTCTTAACGAACATTCGACTTGCCATGAAATGATGGTTGTTTATTTATATTGCAAAGTATATTAAAGCCCGTTTTTAAGGATATTAAATTTCTTAACATACAGGTTGGTACATGTGAACTTAACAAATCTGTAGGATGGCATATTTGCAGGAGTTTAAGTAGCATATGGCCGATAAATTCTTTAATGGTCGACGGCCATTAACCTTACCCTTTTATTTCCAATTCCTCTTGGATTGCGTTATGCAGATGCATTTAACATGGAAGTATTACGAAAAATATTAATATTGTATTGAAATGATTTTTTAGTATATAGTTGTGTAATACATTTTTTGATCTCTCTAATTTTAATTTGTTTACTTAATTAGGTGCTACTTTTTTACAGATGAACTGAAATGACAGAAAACGGAAACACAAATAAAAGTAAACTAGAAAAGATTTAAAAAATATTACACAAGATAGAAATAAAATATATTATATCAAAATAAAATAAGCAATCCAATATAACATTATAAATTTCTGATTCTATCTGTTATATGAGATCAGGTTATTTTATAACTCACAAATTTCTGATCAAAATCTTTTGACACACAACGCTAATGAATTTACATGCTTCTGAAAGAAATTCATTGATTGACCTCTGAAAGCCGAAACATTTCACTTGACAAGGATCGTCTGGAGGACAGGCCATTTCTCAGGACGATCTCACTGAGATGGATTCGGCTCGTTGTAAATCGTACGTTAAACACTCCACTTCTCGGAGCAACATGAGCAGGCACTTTCCCACGAACACCGAAAGTGCAAGGCCAACAACCTGAAATGGAAAATGTGAGAGAAATAGGCACATGAGCTAAAAAAAACAGCTATATCGCAGACTACCTTTTTTTGTTATTTAAAGTCACATCAACTTTTGGTCATTAGCGACCACTATTGCATGTAACGGTATGGTAACTGTATGACACGATATGATGATGATGATAGGGGTGCGAAACGACGAAAACAATACAACTATGCCCGAGACGGGACTCGAACCCGCGATCCTTCGGGTCGAGATCGCTACGGCATTACTGCCTTAGCAATCTCGGCTATCCGGACCAGCAGACTTCCTTTGTAGAGGTGTTTTCTCCGTAATCTAGTGCATGTAGTGCACATGTCTCTTTGTACATATAGATTACACAGACAGGGTCGGCGGTTGGTGTTAAGTTCGACCGGGGGGAGGGTTCCCCCTCCATCTCCAACCGAAAATGTATTTGAAAGGAAAAATAAAGATAAATAAAATTTTATCATTACATTGTCATCAAATTGTTATCACATTTATTTTATGTAAATTTAGTGGGGTGCTTTGTTGCCTTGCAAAAATATCTCTGTCCTGTACATTTTCTATAGAAACTCAGTTAACAATTTTTGAAAATCGATTTTGTCAGTCATGTCATTGTAGCATGTAAAATGCCAATACTGTTGAGTCAATCTTGCAATACAGTTGATTGCATATATGTTTTGAGACGACGCAATACACAGAAATGTCGTTCATTTATGGAATTTGACGTTTGTGGAATATTTATCTCATCCCATATTACGAATGGGTATTTTACCACTCGAAAATTTTCGTTTGGCTGTAGTTAAATACCACATCTACAATATCCGCCGGGCTTATACATAGATAATATAACCTATTCTGTTAACAAAGGGCCTACTTTCATAACAATTGAGGCGAAGTGTCAGCGATGGTCACAAGCCGCGCTTTCATGAAATTTGAGATAGTTATAATTAGAAGTTGATGACTAAGTGTCGTTAATGAGACATAATTTGCTACCATTTGGTGATTGAATGTGGAATGAAAGGCAATGTTGTTATCCATTTCTCTCGTTGGTCTTAGTTTTTCCATGAAAGATAGTGAAAGGCAACTAATACGACAAAAGCAAGAAGGAATCTCTCAGGTAATCCAATCCCTTCGATACGGGCCACCACGCACATCAAATCCATGGGAGAGCTCTCAGCAGGGAGAAGTCGATTGAGGACGAAAATGATAGAAAAACTACGGTGATATACCGAAAGGTCAGCTAGAGAATGACAGATTTGTATTTTATATTTAGCCTTTGTAAAAGGAAATTGGCCTCGTCGCCGGTAGATCCAAGGAGCCCGCAATATCTCGAATTTGCATAACCTTCCTGACTTCAAGTAGTTAACGAATTCTGCTAACGACGCCGATTTCGCGGTCGTAGCCTTTCGGTAGAACCATCCCAGCATTCTCCTGGATGGCCGAGGCGTCGAGGATGGCCGGCACGGGGATTGAACCCTGGCCTCTCGAGAGCGAAACCAGAGCGGTATGTACTGCGCCACTTCGCTCGACGGAGGATGGAAGGTAGAGGAAGGAACTCGCAAGAGTTCCTCCTTCCTTGTCCTCTCTTCAGGACGTCGACAACTCACCTGGAGTTGCACGTTGGCAGCCTGAGAAGAGCGTAAGGGTTTCGCTGATTTCTAAGGGGAAGCAGAGGCGGCCTTCGCGGCCAAATACTAAAGAACCTAACTCTAGGAGCGGGCGAGAATGACGACCTAGAATGACGCCAAACGGCTAGGGGACGCCTGCCCTATTCACCCCCGCGCAGTAATGCCTAACGGCGGTTCCGTGGCGGTGAAGAAGCCTTGGGAGGTGGTTTTAGTGAGGAAAAATCTCACACTACCTCTGTGGTACGGGCCACATGGTGTCTTTTGAAGATTTCCACCTGCTCTTGTAAACATTTTTTTAAACAACTTAAATTGGGAAGAAGTGATCTTTGAAAAATGTAAGAAAACGACCACAAATATCTCACATTGTAGGTTATGACACAGAAAACACATCTCATCTCCCCACACGAACACGAAAACCCTATTTTCAGAGTCTGTGCCGAATCGTTTCCTATTGTGTTCCCGACGATAGTAAAGTGTGTTGAAACGTAATGCGTTTGACGGATTGCATGTGCGCCTGAGTTTTCATCTATGCCATTAGCAGCGATCTAAACTTTTTTGCTGCAGGACTGAATGGTAATCCAACAGGAACACACGAACTTTCGTGCAGATTTGATAAAAAATTACAAAATCCGTGAACTTTACTCAGCGCTTTATGCACAGAGAAGATCTCTAGCTTAAGATTCATATTAGATTATTTTGGAAACACTTTTTTTTCGACAGACACTGGTTATTAAACATTTTAAGAAATAAAAACAGACTTATGTACTCATGTGGGAACTCTCGCATGTTAATCCTCACCCATTTCCTATCAATTTCCTTTTCTTTTCCATTAAAAAGGACAGTTGTTAATTAAATATAAAATAAAACTTTGTACTTACACAAAATCAAACAACAATTAAATGCAATTGACGTTGGCAAAAAAATTAATAAAGGTTTATTCAGCAACATGAAGATACTTCTTCGAACAATTCACACTTCCTTAAAAATAGCATTTGAATTTCCTTAAGGCTAAATGCACCGAAAAATACTTGTAGGAAAATTCAGTAGATCGCAGCACTATCAACAAGGGATTTACTTTACGATAATCGCTCTGAACCAATGGTCCGATTTCGACTGTAAACGCATTGATTGACACTTTATTAAAATCATGACCTTCTACGCTTTACGAAGCCCTTTTCCAAAAATGTAGCATTGAATTTGAATTAGTTCTCAAACTCGAGAAAATTTTAAAAGATTTGGGCTGTTCTAGCGCTGATAGCGCTTGCTTTCTGATACCGCCGTAGCACGTCATGCAAAGTCCTATTGGCGAATAGGAGCGTGTTGTAAGAGTGAAAATTTACGAAGACACTCGCCTCTTCCCACCATTCTTTGCTGCGTTGCGGTCACCACACACGATATTTGTTGTGGCCCTCTGGTCGGCGCGGGTGCACGACTGCCAGGCCCGGCTGTCCTGGCTCGGCCAGCGCCCGCGGAGCAGGCCGGACTTGCGGGATTACGCAAGCCAAGACGGTCCCGAGTTTCGGCTTTTTCTTCTCTTTGCATCTCAGTCTATTTTTCCACAGATACTCAAATGTAGAGACATGTATCATCTAACTCCATCCTGTGGACTGAGGTAACGCGTCTGTAATAGTAAGTTACATAAGTAATATTTTCACATATTTCCCGTCTTTCTTCGAAAACGATTCTTAAAAATTGTTTGAGGCAATACTCAAAATATCGATTGCGATTTTCGAACATGTTTTTTCAAAAAATTAACGTAATTTTTAAATATAACCATTATTCCATTCTCTCACATCTGTACTTTTAGATATATTTATATCTTGCGTATTTTTAGTTTTTCTTGGTTAACATTCCACCTTATTTCTAAGATCTTCGTTCAAATACCGAAAGAATGAGCGGTATACGACGACCTCTTTTATCCTACACTTGCGATCTCAAAACGTTATGTATTGTGCTTTCATGAGCTTCATCTCGCGTCAGATCTCCCAGTTCCCAAGGTAAAATGGCCTGCATCGTTTAATTTTCAAAATAATTGTGTTTCGTACTTTCGCGACAAATTTGAATTTTCCCTAGAAAACATCTGTAGAATTCAGTATTCAAAACTAGTGCACGTGCTCTCACTGACGTATCGGCCACAACGATATCAATAATATGAACATTCAAACGAGTTACAACCAAGGAGAGAAATTTCTACATAACGATGCGCGTTGCTCATATGTTCAAGTCACAGATATCGCTATTACGCTACTACACATATACGCATCCGTATGTAATCTACACAACGTTCTCCAGAGTGAGAATGAAGAAAATGATGTTCTTTCAATGTGAATTGTTTTGAAAATATATAAGCAATATATGCTTCTCTATATATGTTTTAAATCTTATTTTTCTTCTTTTTCCTAGATGAGCTTTTGTCGAATTGACTGAACCACACGTGCATTCAGTGTGCAATTGTGTCCTTATTTGCACAATCTCGCTGTATTCCTTTACCTTTGGTAATGGAATTAATTATAGCTGTGACTTTGCAAATCTGCTTTGCTACAGTCATTGTCCAGCATCCATTGTGTTGATATTATATATGCGCAAGATTGTCTTTCGCCTGTATCTTTGAAATAGTTCGATTTGAATATTATCTTTACAGCGGACTTCCATTATTCAGTGTTTTGTCGCCCAATCGCGTTTCTTCTATCTCTAGTTCTTATTCTAACTCATCGATAATATTTATCCGATAACTAGATTTGTAAGTTCTTCGATATACTTTTTCGTGTATTTCCCATCTTTTTCGTGATCTCTTCTTGTTGTTGTATTTTTTGTCGTTCACGTTTACTATAGTTCGCCAGACTAGTGTTGGTTTTAACACTCCCGTGATCATATTTCGGCGTATTACGGGAAAAAATTCTTAAGATCTCCATTTGTTATGTTCTTCCCACTTCTTCGCTTTTTTTCTTGAATAAATGTTTCTTTATCTTATCTTGGTCTGCGTCGTGCGAATACCTGTACTCTTTTCTGATTCTCCTGCTCGTCACTTGCTTTCTTTGCGAGAAACATCATGTTTGAAAAGAAAAAAATATAAAGACTCCC